TACTACTTGCACTTGCTTGGAGCTAATTGTCATTGTTTATGACTATACATAAGACATGGGTTCACGAGAGAAAATGTTATTTGATCTTAATGAAGTTCCTACAGAAGATGATCTTGTAAATACTTCTACAGCCAATGACAGAGAAGAAGGGGAATTGACNGAGTCTGATGCTTGTGCCAAGGATAATTCTGACTACAAGGGTANNTTGCNGCGAGAGCAGGGGATGACGGAAACTGCAATAGAATCGGTGAAAGATGATGTACAAGAACAAGGTTTGGCGGTGAAGCAGAGAGAGGTTAAAGGAGTTGAAGCAAGTTATGCAATTAAGTGTGCTAATACCACTGTGAAACGAAAGATGGATCCACGTAAAGAGGCAATGTTGGGAAAGAAACGCAGTAGGCAGACCATGTTTCTTAATCTGGAAGATGTTAAGCAAGCAAGTTCTGTTAAGACATCAACACCTAGGAGACAGAACTCTGCACAACCTGTCCTTTCGGACTCCCGTCTAGCTAATCCACCTGCTGAGCATGGAGGAGAAATTCAAAGCCGCGGCTTATATAAAGATCAAAAATCAATCGATTTTCCTTCTAATGGTGGTATACATCCAGAATCCTCTGAACAGAAGTCCGAAAGTAATGGCGAATCATATTCGGGTTTACTTGGTAAGCCTAGGAGGCTGAACGGGGATGGAGGACCTTCTGCTGATGGGATGGGAACATCTGTGTCAAGGCAGGCTTCTTGGAAGCAGCCTACCAATTCACGGCAGCCCAAGAGCGGTCATTCATCTAGTAGAAAAGTACCTTACAGCCAAAGTACTTTCAAGAAGCCAGCCACAACTAGGACCCAGTATCAGGATACATCAGTGGAGCGTCTTATACGAGAGGTGACCAACGAAAAGTTCTGGCGTCATCCTGGTATGTTAAATATTACATTTCTTCTACCTATGAAACATGTTCTTGACTATTTCATTGTTTTCCCAGAAGTAATTGAAACTTGATTTAAGGTAGAAACTTTTATTCGAGTAAAAATTTACTGCTTCTGAAGCCAGCTCCTTATGCCTCTTGATAACTTACTGGTTCTAAACGCACGACTCTTGAGAATCATAAAAGTCAAAAACGTGGAAGCTGCTACGAATTTTATTGTGCTGTAAAAGTAGATGAAAGAATTCTAGTTTATTTGTGATCAACTTGCTCTCTTTTTTATTTCTTGCTTCTCTCTAGTGAGAATGATCTCAGATTATAGATTTTGATAGAAATTTAATTATTTTGTGGCAGATACGTCCATATCTATATCCACCATTGTTATCCTTGCTTTCCTATTAATGCACTGAACATAAGGTCTAGCTTTACGGACAGACCTGGTTCCTGGTCGATGGAAATTATTCATCAGGCCGGCACTTTGGTTGAAACTACGTTGGGGTAGAAATCTCCCCAGCTGAATGGTATCTCAATGAAAATTGAATATTGATAGTAGTTTGCTTTTCATTCATGTTTTCTGTCTTTGTTTAGTCTTTATTGTGGAAATGTTTAGTATGCATGGAAGGTGTTGCCTGATTTCTCCCCGAACATTATCTTTTCTGCTTTTTTTAGCTCATTGTGTATTCTTTTGCCCATTGAGTTTGATTTATAACTTTTCTTGTCTATTAGAGGATACTGAGCTCCGATGTGTACCTGAGCGGTTTGAATCTTTGGAAGAGTATGCCAGAGTTTTTGAACCCTTACTTTTTGAGGAATGCCGGGCACAACTTTACAGTACATGGGAAGAGCTGGCTGAGGCAAATGCATATGTGAAAGTTCAAATCAAATCCATCGAAAGAAGAGAGAGAGGTAACTTTAGACACTTTTTTTCATTATTAAACCATTTATTGTACTTTGTCTCTTCTCCTTGTTTGAGAAGGTATTCATATAATTTGCTCAGAGTTTATATAGGAAAATGATTGTGCCCTTGATTCACTATCTTATAACATACGCAGTTTAGCAAGTCTGTTACTTGTTCATTATGTTCTCTAGTAGGCTGGTCNCTCTCTTTGGATTGNCAACCGTATCAATACTNTTTTATGTCTGGCCCTCTGGGAGTCACTGCCAAGTTNCTGCTAAGCTACGTGACTGCTAGCCTTTGTTTATGTGTTTAGGATGGTATGACGTTATACTCCTGTCTTTAAACGGCAGTAAATGGGCTTTCAAGGAGGGAGATGTTGCAGTTCTTTCAATTCCTGTGCCTGAATCAGGTGTGTTTGAAGATCGTTGATGTCTGATNATTTCTATCTTGCTTANGNTTCTCTGAATTTTGTATAATTTTTTCATTCTTTATGCTAAGAAGAAGAGCACGAGGATGTGGGACGTGTAGCTGGTACAGTTAGGAGACATANACCAATTGATACCCGTGATCCTCTTGGAGCTACTCTTCATTTCTATGTTGGAGATTCTGGTGGCACTAGCAGGTAGGCTCATCTGTTGGATGTTCATTTGTTATTCTATTGATACTCTATTCTTCTATTTGTTCATGGACAATCTGAAAGTGGATGCAAATATTTTGCTGTCTCTAATCTCTTCTCCGTGTATTTGCATAAATTTATTCTTACAGCAAGATTGATGATAATCATATTTTACGGAAGCTTAAACCTAAGGATATCTGGCATCTAACAGTGCTTGGTTCACTTGCAACCACACAGAGGGAATATGTTGCACTGCATGCGTTCTCTCAACTTAACCCACAGGTTGGTTTTTCTTTATTCTCAAATAGATCTCCTGTAGATGCTTTAAAATATGCTCACNTTGGTGAAACTTAAATTTTTGTTAGATGCAAAATGCCATTCTCAATCCCAGTCCGGAGCAGTTTCCTAGTTATGAAGTTCAAACCCCTGCAATGCCTGATTGTTTCACTACTAGCTTTGTTGACCATTTACGTAGGAGCTTTAATGCTCCGCAGCTGGCTGCAATCAACTGGGCTGCCATGCATACTGAAGCTGGGACTAGTAGTGGGGTGAAGAAGCAAGAACCATGGCCATTCACTCTGGTTCANGGCCCTCCAGGAACAGGCAAGACACATACAGTTTGGGGAATGTTGAATGTCATCCATTTGGTTCAGTATCAACAATATTACACTTCGTTGCTGAAGAAACTAGCACCTGAGAGCTATATACAAGCTAATGANTGCAGNTCGGATAATGTTTTGTCAGGATCTATTGATGAAGTCCTACAAAANATGGACCAGAANCTGTTTCGCACCTTGCCCAAACTCTGTGCTAAACCAAGGATGCTCGTNTGTGCTCCTTCAAATGCTGCAACTGATGAACTTCTTTCNCGTGTCCTNGATCGTGGTTTCATTGATGGGGAGATGAGGGTATATCGCCCTGATGTTGCTCGGGTTGGTGTTGATTCTCAAACGCGAGCNGCTCAAGCAGTTTCTGTGGAGCGAAGAAGTGATCAGCTATTAGCTATATCTCGNGATGAGATTCTACGACACATGCATAACCTCAGACTTCAAGAAACACAGATTTCTCGAGATATAGCTGGACTGAAAANGGAACTTAATGCTGCAGCCTTNGCTACACGTTCTCAGGGATCTGTTGGAGTTGACCCTGAAGTCCTTANATCTAGAGACCAGAAAAGAGATGCATTGTTACAGCACCTTTCTGCTGTGGTTGAAGCCAGAGATAAAGTCCTTGTTGAAATGTCTCGCCTTCTTATTGTGGAGGNAAAGTTTCGTTCTGGTAACAATTTTAATCTNGAAGAAGCTCGAGCGAGTCTCGAGGCAAGTTTTGCAAATGAGGCTGAAATTGTTTTTACNACTGTATCAAGCAGTGGTCGTAAATTGTTTTCTCGTCTTACCCATGGCTTTGATATGGTTGTNATTGACGAGGCTGCCCAAGCTAGTGAAATTGGAATTCTTCCTCCCCTGGCCCTTGGTGCTGCGCGATGTGTACTTGTCGGCGATCCTCAGCAGCTTCCTGCAACNGTGATTAGCAAAGCAGCTGGAACCCTTTTATACAGTAGAAGTCTCTTTGAAAGGTTTCAGCTAGCAGGTTGTCCGACNTTGTTGTTAACTGTTCAATATAGAATGCATCCTCAAATCCGNGATTTTCCATCAAGGTACTTCTACCAAGGACGCCTCACAGACAGTGAAAGTATATNNAGTGCTCCCGATGAGATTTACNATAAAGATCCTGTCCTTAGGCCTTACCTCTTCTTCAATATCAGNCATGGACGGGAGTCTCATGGAGGTGGNTCTGTATCTTACGAGAATGTTGATGAAGCTCGATACTGTGTTGGGGTGTACATGCATCTTCAGAAAACTCTGAAGTCNTTGAATGCGGGTAAAGTCTCTGTTGGGGTAATAACGCCNTACAAACTGCAGCTGAAATGNCTGAANCACGANTTTGGCAANGCTTTGGGCCAAGATGAACTGAAAGAGTTGTATATCAATACTGTAGACGCGTTTCAGGGTCAAGAACGTGATGTCATAATCATGTCATGTGTGCGTGCTTCTGGTTACGGGGTTGGCTTTGTTTCAGATATCCGACGGATGAACGTTGCCCTTACCCGTGCAAGAAGAGCTTTGTGGGTATGGTT